TCTTCTCCTGTTTAAGTGTTGCGAGCCAGATACAACACATTATAAAACATACAACACACGTCTTCACAATCAACATAAAAAACACCTTGAAAATACCCTTTACAAATCAAATACAAAACCTTCCATTCATAACCGGTATAACACAGTACAATCATCCAATATTCATAACAAGTAATCATCTAATATTCATACTCGAACACATCAAGACAACATACAAGACTTTACAAGAGAAAATACGTCAAATGTTGTAAATTGTTCCTACAACATCTACTGCATAAGAAATGTTATGTCGAACATACAACTAAAGTCTTTTAAGGTCTTTTTGAAGAATAGAGAAGCTAGAAGCTAGAAGCTAGTGCTTTACCAAAAAACTGGAACTAGAATCCACCGAGAGTCTCGGTTAGAGAGAGGAGCGGCGAAGGGGAAACCTAGCCTCCTCCTCTTCTTTTCCTCTCTTTTTTCAATTTTCTTTTTATCCCAATCATGAAAAAAGTTTCGTTGGATCAATATTTTCAGTTCTATGTATACGTCTATTTCCTAGTGTTGTCTAGAGATATTATTTTCGATGGCAAAGTGTCGCTCGCCAGATTTATATTCCCCGCCATCATCGGTCGGGTGTTATTGGGTGTTAGTAAGAGATGTGTGTTGGCTTCTCTATCGATCATGAATCAAGATTTATTCTGGACCAATATAGAGGCTGATCGCCCCCCTCCTAAACCACCGTTTGTCACGCCCCAGACCTCCTGGACACGTCAACAACCCGCCGTACAATACGAATAGTCAACCGCAGTTAACACATCCATATTATACAAAGCGTCTTGAATATCATTCACACATATAACATCCATAAACAAACATAATAAGTAATCGGATACGTAGCGGAATACATAGTTTGAAAACAAATGCCACACCTGGCAAACATGTGCACGCAGGCTCTATAGTAAAATATTCATGAGCATGTTTATTAATGTTTAAAAACAGAATGGAGGAAGCATGAACCAAGTCTTCCCTCCTAGATGATCTCTCGAGCAACGAGCACAGGAAGCAAGCTCTAGCCTCAACCTGAAAAATGGTAGTGGGACGCCCCCGAAGGGGTCAGCACTCTATAGGGCTATAAAGTGCTGGTGTGGACGGCATCTAATAGATATACAACAAGTATTTCAAACACAAGACCCTCAATTAGGGTGATAATATAATCTAGGCCGTAACCCCCAGTTACCCCTTTTCAAAATATACTTACTTATATATATAGTCAAGTAGTCGGCCCATAGGCCCAAGGTTTGTTTACCAAACATAGCCCAAACCCTGTGACCCCTAGTCACAACAATACATAGGGTTCAACCCTAACACATATGGTTGCATTTCTCGAGTCCAACTCGACTACATCACCATGCACCTTGTTTAACACAAGTTAATTACTTCATCGTGCATTTCTTGAGTCCAACTCAACTACATCACCATGCACATCAATCACCACATCATGTCTACCCAATGCAATTCTATGAGCACGGGCTCAAGTACATCTCCTTACATTGGCATAGACCCCAATTCCTAAGCGCTCGCTATGCCTAGAATTGTAATATCAATAATCTATTTTGGGACATCCTTACGGACTGCCCGACCATGATCTTAGCATCACATTACATCAATTTAGTCACTTGCATCACAATCAAGTACATCAATCACAATCAAATCCTTAAATTCAATTCCTTAACAATTACAACAATCATTAACTAGTATTTCAATACTATTAAGATTATTCTTATCCATCATATATTCCACTTGTAAAACCCTACATATTTAGAGATATGTAGCAGCAACTTAATCATCCAATGTAATACATAAATAGTCATTTATGTATCTACACAATTCACACATGAGTAAATTACCTATCTCACACAATAGTTCATTTAACTCCATTTTTATCAATACTTTACCAAATCATTTCTCATTTCATTCTTTGGAAAATAGAACAATATTCCATCAATAATTTATCATCATAATCCATGGAAAACATGATTTAGGCATTTAGGTAATCTCATGCTTAACCTACAAGTTGTAAGCAACTAGATGTCGATCCTCACCTCAAATGAGCTTTAAACTTTCCTTCTCGATCCAATGACCAAAGCCTCGGCCAAGGAAGCTTGAGAACTGATTCCTTGCTTAGAAATGAGTGTTAAACAGCCCCCTCAAAGTGCTAGTTCAACCCCTAATCGTTGATACAAAAACAGCCCCTAGAATGGGTGTTTTCCGGCTAACTCGTTTCCTAGTTTTCCAAGATTTGCTCTAGGTCAGGGCCGGCCCAGGGCATGACTGCCCAGTGTGACCGCACAGGGCCCGGATTTTTGAAGGCCCAAAAAAAAATTAGTATTACGCCCCAGCCCAAAATCCTCTGCGTAAATCTAAATATGCTTGAAGAATGTCCTTTTTTAAATAAATTGTAAGTTATTAATGACTATTTTTATCATTACATTTATTCGTAAGTTGTATTTTAAGAAAATTTATTTGTGTTGCAACTTGAAAAAAGGTCCAAATTTTATTCTCGCACAGGGTCTACATTTCTTCGGGACCGGCCCTCCTGCTCTAGGTTAGTATCTAACCTTTACATCAATAAAATGACTTAATAGGGACATATTATACACTTGTAGTAGTGTATAATAGTTCCACCAATCGTTCATATCATTTGGAAAATGAAGGGAAAGGTTTTGGGGTTAAAACTCACTTTAGAAGATTAAATCCGCTCCTGCGAGGTTGTGTTTTGTTTGGACAATTTGGGAGTCTTCCACTACTCCGATTTATGCAAACCAGACCTTCACGGATTCCTTGTCTTGAGAGCTTTCTTTTGGTATCTCACGCGCCTTATTTGGATTGGTATAACTCGAGATATCAACCAAACAGCCTCGGTACTCTCACTGCTCGAGTTTACAGACAGCAGTTCACTCCAGCTCGATTTTTGTATGACAAACTCTCCCTTCTCGAACAGAGACCACTCAAATAAGAAACTAGACTTCAAAGGCTATCCAAGTACACCTCATTCACCTTATTTGGTCGAGTATAACATCACTCATGAGGGAGACAACCAGCATCATCCTTTTGTGCGAAAATAGACTAGGTGGGGTTCCCTCTTGCTTCCTTTGTCAAGTCCAGCCCCTAAAGTCAGCTATGGCAGCCTCCTAACATTATTTTTCTTGTCTTGCAGGTGGAAGGAAGAGATGGGGCGCAGCATGTTGTTCCCCAATTATTTTGGGAGCAAAATATTAACTAATACATCCAAAATGGAAGAATGGGTCCTATTGTTTAATCTTTTGTCAAAAGATGTCTTTTTGTACTCATCCTAATTTATTTAGAACAAGTTAACTCCCTACATCATATCATTGATTCCCAATATGTGTAGGATCATCCCAATAATTCATGTGATCAATATTATAGAAGAAAAACCCTACTCTCATTATTTAGCTCAATAATGTCAAAGATGGGACCATAGACATTTGTATTCTTCTCTAATCATTCTATCACTTATTTTGACATTTGTCATTCATATTATTGGACTACTAGCCGCGTGGGTCATCCCCGAGTGGGCCTACGACGCCATTCTTGAATACTTGCTATTTTTAGCAGGTTGGGCCCAAAAATGTTGGGTCGCCGTCCTTCCTCAATTTGTCTTGAAAGGTTATATATCATTATTTGGGAAATGTTGGGCTCTTATGTTCATTAATAAGGCCCAAATATGTATTTGAAAAACCGACACTAATATACGAGTTCGAACAATACACTAATCGATCATTAATTACGTAAAACATAAATCGTTTTACAATTGTTTGGGAATCGGAAATTCAATACATAAACTTTGATTTTTTAAATCAAATTTTCAAGGACGTTCGGGTGCGGTGTCACACCGTTGATCAAGGAAGATGAGAGTGAATGAATTGCTTTCTTTCCGGTGGCTGGTGAAACCGAAACAATTTCTGCACTTGGCTCCTTACCGGTGGCTGGAAAAACCGGCAAGTTTAACAAATGCTTTGCGGTGGCTGGTCAGACAGGACCTATTTCGAGTAGCACGAGCACTCAAATTGCGGGACGAGTCTACATAGTTGCAGGGTTAGCGAATATAATAGCTTTTATTTGGTATTTTTGTTCTTTGTCTCACCCTAGTGTAACATTGAGTGCTGTGATTGTAATGCTTCGTCTTTTGATTGTGATGTTTATGGTTACCCATATTATCAATAATAATTAAGTTATTGATTTTTAAGAATCCATCCGAGATTCACACCGATATGTCACTCTAAAAAAACTTCTTTAACCAGCTACTATTATACTATTGTTGTTGTTACTATTGTTATTATTATTATTATCTATAAGGACATATACGAAAAAAGATGATGGGTTAAATTATGCCATGTTATATGTAGTAATTTAAACTTAGAGAAAATTCTCTAAATTGAAGTAAAACATGGATAAAGTTCATAAATAGGACTATCAATGTTTTCTTCCCAAAATACGATTAACTCACTCCTATTTTGGAAAGTTCCAATCTAGTATAATTGTCTTATATCATATTTGGTAACATTTGTGTGGCTCTAATTCATTCTTACTTTAATTTCACTTTATCAACTCATTATCAACTACATAATTCTACTTTTCTTAAAACATAATTATTCATATTTTTAAATTTTTTGTATTTTTGGTCATATATTTAGCAATTTCTAATTTAAATTTATTTACAAAAATATGACAAAAGTGTTAGCAACTTAGCATCACTTAAGTGTAAAAATTAAACATATTTTATTATGACTAAAGTCGGTAGCCTAGTGACCTAGTCATTATATTTAAGACGTAATATTTTTTGGTAAATAACTTTTATTTTAATTGTTTATTATTATTACAAACTCAATCGCCTAAAGCTGTTACACTGTTACAACAGTTATTAGCATCCAAATATAAGTATATAACTGATCAAAAAGAAAAGGCATCCAAATATAAAGGAAATTTGAAATTGGAAATTTGACCAAAAGAAAACTGTTAATCATAAAGAGGGTTCCCAGTTCCCACTTCCCAGCAGTTCTAACAACGAGGTAGAAAACCGAAACCACCAACTTCGCAATATTTACTGGCAATATTTATTATAATAACGGCTATGTTTTTCAAACGCTTGAAACTGAAAGTTTCTAATCCTCTCTTAAATCGCATAAACTCATTTTAATCTCCAGATAATTATTTGATCACGGCAACAAGTTGAAGTTACACGCCATTTCCTTCTTAATTCATCCATCTGTAAGTTTTATTAGTTTCTGAAAATTTACAATTTGTACTTTACTAACACTATTATTGTTAATCAACACAAAGCTTTTCAACAATTTCTGTATTTTCTGTATACTCCATTGCAGATTCTTCTTCATCATCAACAACAAACTCTCCCTCCGGGAAAAATGAATGATCTGATGACTAAATCTTTCTTGAACTATGTGGAACTGAAGAAACAAGCCCAAATGGACAATGAACCCGATGATCAGGACATAGAATTAGGCCACCTCAGCAATGAAGATTCATACAGCCTCTCCCTGTTCTTCCAACAAGTTGAAGAAATCAAGACAGACATAAAAGGGATCAAAGATCTCTTCTCTGATCTGCAATCCCTGAACGAAGAAACCAAAACCACCCATAGTGCCAAACTTTACCGTGGTTTGCGGGACAGGATGGACTCGAACATGGTCACCGTCCTCCGCAAGGCCAAATCTGTCAAAACCAAACTACAAACACTCGACCAATCAATCTCCGGTCATCAAAAGGGGACCACGGCTGACCGAATCCGACTTTCCACCACCCACGGGCTGAGAGTCAAACTAAAGGACATCATGAATGATTTTCTTTCCCTAAGACGAAAGGTCGTCTTGGGTTACAAAGAAGACCTTAGAAGACGGTACTATAATGCCACTGGGGAGTTTCCAAGTGAAGAAGTGATCGAGAAGATGGTTTTGGGAAGGGAAGATGTTCAGATTTTCGAGACGAAAGTGGAGATGAAAGAGGAGAGCAAAGAGAGGCACGAGGGCGTGATGGATATCCAGAGGAGCTTGGATAAGCTTCATCAGGTGTTTCTTGACATGGCTGTCATGGTTGAGGCTCAGGGTGAGCAGATTGACAATATTGAACGCAATGTCGCCACTGCCGGAAGCTACATCAATGGTGGAACACACAACCTCTTCTACGCTAAACAGATGAAGCGAGGGGGGAGGAAGATGCTGGTTTACTGGATTTTCTCCGTGTTGGTTATTGTCTTGCTGGTCTGCATCATCAGCCTGTTAAGTTCCTGAGATGGGAGAAAAAAGTGATCTTGATTATGGTTTCTTTTTCAGGCAATAAAAAAGTTCAGGTGTGTTCTTTTAACAAGTTTTAGAGAGCTTGGCACTTGAAAATCCATTATACCCTTCCAAATTCACTAGATACTCATACTTATATAGGAGACAGTTTGATAGGCTTCATTTTCGGTCTGTTTTTCACAGAACTGTAACATATTTTAAGGCGTTAGCTGAGCTGGCTGATAATTTAAAAGGTGAAGAAGTTTCTTGACTAAAAAGAGAAATTACTCCTATTTAGAGCAATTTCTGATTAAACAAATTGATACCTCTAACTTTATGTGTACAACAACATCAAGCTTTAATTCCAAAAGATTTGATCAAACTCTAACTTTATGTGTACAACAACATCAAGCTTTAATTCCAAAAGATTGCGATCAACTAACACAAACCAATACATGATATCGGAGTGAAAAGGAAAAGAAAGATAAAAAGATAAAGTATGATAAAAAGATGCAATAAAAATAAAGATAAATACTATGTATGGGATAGAGATAAAAATGACGATAAAAAGAATACTTATAAAATAAAAATGATAAAAAGATGATATTAAAAAAACATAAGAAAGATAAAGAACAAAAGGGGATAACTTCAAAATCATGAATACCGTTCCTCCACTTTGCTCTCTCCAAAATCATACTTTCATATAACTTCATGTATATATTATATTTTCTATAATTCATTGCAATATATTTTCTAGATATTCTTTTAGAGCATTCAGCCTTTCCGTTCATAGGTTTGATCGAGCAGATTCAATCATTTTAAGACTAACCAAACAGGCACTAAATTTTCTACTTCTTCCATATTTAAATTATGAAATACCATTAAAAGTGGGGCACTGATATGGAAAACTTGAATCATATCATGAAATTGCTTTATTGCCGAACACTCAAACAGTAACCAAGAGAATTAACAACTGGAGCAATACAAGGAAAGACAGAAAGGCAGCAGATCTTCTTCAAGAAACACTTAAATGTTGAACGGCTGTCCAGCTTTGGTTCGGCTTCAACTCAACCTCTCCAATCTGAGGTATCAACAAAACATATAAATCTCACATGAGGAATTAATATATAGCATTTGGCCTCTTACGATATCGTCTAGCGTCTCTCACCTTTGCATTTTCAACACAAACAAAATCTTTGTAGCATGACTCCATAGTTAGATGTGGATTCCACAGAACAGTATCCGACCAACTGCATGAAGCAACGCAACCACATAACAGATAACAAGAGTGTGTTTTGGGATATAATTTCTATTTATAAGTGTTTCTTTATGGAGAAATAGAATTATATTTACTTCACAAGAAGCATTTAGAAGTAAACCAGTAATTAAAAAATACTTCTAGTGCTTGATCAAGAAATTTTTGCCACTTTAAGTCCTTTTCAATTGTAGGCTTGTAGCAGCCACATACTTTTTCTAAAAAGCTTCCAGTCATATGACTATTATGACTGAGACATTGTTGGTTCCGTTTTTATTTTTATTTTTCCACCTTTAGTCATTTTATTATTGTGACATACTTTTTAAGTCCTTCAAATTAGAGCACTAAAAGTGTTGACTGTCTCAAAAGTTTAGAGTACTGAAGTGAAAACATTCTAAAATGAGTACCAAAGGTGTCATTGTCACATACACACATAGTGAGAGGTCTAGAGGTGAAAAAAATTGTGTATTCCATAAGTTATCCCAAATTAGCTGTAATTGTTCAATTGATTTTTTATACAAAAAAATAAATAAAGAGTTTAAAAGGGGGATTGCATTTATTGAATAAAATTAATCAAAGGAAATGGACCGTAATGAAATAAAAAGGGGGGATTTTTCACCTCCATTTAATGAAATAAATGGTCTGTGCATTTACTTACTTGGTATTCTTGATGGTTATTGTATCACCCAAACCATTATCCAGTTGTAACTCATTAGGAGCATCGAGATAAATGCAATCTACAAAGCCAGGAAAGGTAACAGCATCCCTGATTTACCAAATATAAGAATTAAAAATAAGATAGAACTAAAACAGACACACATTCACACACAAAACCACTCTCTTTGCTGTTATTTAATTATTATTATTATTAATACATACCTTTCCTCCTCACCCTCCACTGGATTTCTAGGATCGGGATGTTTGTTCAGTGTTTTGCAACCCTTTAAGCCTCTAACTGATACACTATCAATGGAGCCCTGCATAAGGAATTTATTGGTATTTTTATACTTAAACGATGAGATCCTGACCTGTATAGATTAGGACGACGACGAGGTCAAACAGAACTTTACTTACATGAAAATAAGTGTGCAATGCGGTAGTGAAAGAGAACGGTTTTTGGTCTGTGTTTGTAACTCGCAATTCTGTAGAAAGCATCTTCTCATGAAGAGTAACCTAGAAAAAAAAGAAAAAATAAGAATCTTTGTCATGGCTGAAAATTCAAAGTTTTTATCTTGAAGCACAAAGAGGGTAAAAATAATTAAAATAAACTAACCTTGTATAAAGCTTGGAAACTGTAATCCCACATAGAACGACTATAGGGGCCATCCTTCAGTTCTAATGTAATGACTGGATTTTCTACTACATTTTCGGATTTAACAAATGACCAGTTCATATTCCTCGCAAATCCATGCTGTAAGTGGTACATGTTTCCTTACGGGTCTTTTGTAAATAGGAAAATACTTGTGGAAAATAGAGATGCAAATAGAGTGAAATTGGAAGGATAATAATTTGGGGGGAAATATATGTTACACTCGAAATCAATAAATATTAGTCAAGTTCTACAACATAATAAAGGTATTGTACCGTTGCTGACATGGACCATTGAATATATTACAATTGTACAATTAAAACGTGATAAAGTGGTGAAATGGTGGCATGAACCAATTCACCAATTATATGCATTTGAGGTATCATACCTTCATCTATTAATATGGTATTGCAGCACTCACCGTAAAGCATCAAAAAAATATTTACGGAGTATTTCATTTTTTAACATTTTCCACAGTAGAGCCAACATAAGAAAATAACTTTTTTGGCAGTTTCTCTTTCCCTAGTATTTTTCCCTATGCAAAAGCACCTTAATGGTTGAAATAGTAAAACTCTAGCATAATAAGAAAATATTATGTAATCATATTGATTGAAATAAACATTTGTCGTTGTGTGGAACAAATATAGCATATACATCTGTTTTGGCCTTTTAGGAAGCTTGCTACATGAACAGCGATGTTGCTAGTTTAAAATAAAATTCTTATTCTCTTAAAAAGTGATTAAAGTTAGAAACCAACTTAAGTGCATTAATGCATTAATCAAAGGCAATTGGAAATCGATTTACCTGCTGAATTGGGCCAGGTCCAAATTGTGGGAAACAATGTGGCATTCCTCCACTGCATCCATGGAAAACTGTCAAAAAATGCCTTGGTGCTTTGGGAATATCACTTCTATATTTTCTCATATAACTCAATCCTATGAACTACAAACCCCCAGAGTCCCTATAGTTAAAACAAATTACTGAGGAACATATTCCCAGAAGTTGATAAAAAAAATATAAACACTTTCAGCCTTTTTTATCATGTGCGGTAAGAAAACACCTGATAGGTTTCTGCCCATTAAAAACGGCATCTGGCCTAACAAAGAGAAGATCTTTCCCGCCAACTTTCCATGATGTAACACAAGCTCCAAACAAATATAGCTCCGCCTCGCTGCATATGTAGCATGAATCAGTCAAACCAAAATTTACAACTTGAAAGTTACTAGTGACAAACATTATCTATTGACATTACTAATGCTTTCATTTGATGGTCATTTGGCAAGACGTTACATTATATAAATAGTTAACAGTTGAGACAATGGCATTGTATGGCTTCATTTGTGATAATCTAATATATACGGAGTAGTAGACAATAAAAGAACATATAGCAAGTTAGCAACAATGTTTTTGTGGTGCTCATATTAGGTATGTTTGCTGATCCAGAAAAATGCTAGTGAAAGAAAAAGTATGATTAGAGGGGTTCTTTTCTATTATATGTAGTTTTTAGCTTTACTTTGTAAAATGTAAAAGGAAAATCAATATGATTCAATTTTAATTGTCTCACATACTTAGATTTCTTGGTCTTTATAGAGTAGAAATAAATAAATGAAATGAGTTTGAAGTACTTTGAACATATATCTAGATTATTGAGTTTGGACTTAGGACAAATATCTCAATTAATTTATTGAGTTCGAAAGCATCTCTATTTTTTCTCCCTAGTTTTTCTTTACCTCCCTTCTTACACCCTATCTTCTTTCACTAATATCTCTAGGATTCCAAACAGAGTAACAGACCCTTAACATCCTGTGAAAAACTACACCTGGCAAAACCTTAATATCAGTTTTAAAACCAATGGGTGGTAACTGGTAAGTTGATTAATTGATTTATGATGCAGAACGAAATTTAGCAACATCTATACAATTGATATAAAAAAATTACCTTCCCTGAGAAGCAGTCAAAACAACCTTGGGCAAATTCCCAATCCCTTCGGTAGCCTTCACTCCCAAACTAGGATTCATCTTGTTCACGCTTGCAGAAGCCATTGTAGGGTACCTGGCAACCCGATCAAATTCTCAAATAAATAAAAATATACAAGAATAACCACAAAGATTGCATTTTTGTATCTGGGTTCTTTGTTTAGACATTACAACTGCTCCTGACAATAAATTAAGTACTGACTGATGGAGAGCGCGGGATAGTCACCGATTAATTCGCCTATGATAAGGGGATGCTAGAGAAGGAACAGACCACGTCACAGGAAGGGAGGTTATCAACATTTAGTAAGGTAGGGGGGCGTATTTGTGTACTATTGTGCTAGGTTCTTTCGTCTTCTTTATTTATCACTGTTCCGGCGGAATCCCCTAAACACTCTCTGCCGGGCGAGACGGAGCAGGTTACACAGATAGTTTTGTGTACCTCAAGCATTTTTGTAAATAGATTTAAAAAGATCAAATGAGACTTCGACTTCCGTAGTTCTAAAATACACAGAAATAAAAGATGTTCATCAGATCAGACCATATTAGACTTAAACAGATCAACCTTGTCGGAGGCCAAACGGGCCCTCGGGGCGATGCCCAACATCCCCGCCTCTAGACTCATACCCTTTTCTCGTAGGAATGTAAGGCCAATTTAGGGTCCTATCTTAAGTGTTACCGTTGCCATGGACGCTCTCTAGAGTTAGTCCAAGTCATGGCACTTACATGTACCCATAGTTCACCCTGGTGTCCTAAAAAATTACCAGAAACACCCTAAAGCAAATCCTATATTTAGGACTAGGATCAAATTTGATACTATAATATCTATTTGAAATATGACGAACCTGACAGATGAAAATCTGTTCTGAACTTCATTCTTAATGTCATAGATATACAATTGTTCATATTTTGGCTCTGCACCAGGCGGATGCGACAAACTACCAATTAAGTGATAATTCTGGCCATGCAGTTTAAATATTGGAGGAGACCTACCCCTATTGACATTTTCTTCCACCCTACCGCCCATGGATGTAAAGGAAAACATAATGTTGTAAGATCTTATGTTTTCTAAGAAATGCCTACTACGTTCATCCGAACCCTCAATCAACCCAGTCAACAAAGTAGGCGACTCTTACATAAAAGACAACACACCCTTTCCTTGACTACAACAGAGAGAAAATTTTGGAACCTTCTTCGTCGACGTTGAAAGAATACGTTCGTCAAACCAAAACAAAGCATTACAGAACTCATATGTGCACATCGAATCACCAATGTCCCAATACTCTGCAATAAAATTAAAATGAAACCACAACGTCTAATAAAACCGAACCCCCAATCAAAAAAATTAGAACTAACACTCAATATGCACCAATAGGTCTGCGGCTTGTTTGGGGAGGAAGTCCCTCATAGTCAACATACTCATCATCCACGTCACTATCATCAAACGACGCCATATCAAAATCCACAACGGGTGACAAACGCGACAGGTTTGCATTCGAACTACGGACATCGTCGATGCATGTTTGCGGACCAAAGTAGCCTAACCATGAACATTTTTTTAATACAAAACACAGTTGATGAAAATGACAACATAATGTAATGCGGATGAGATAAAAATAACAATTCAAAGTTAATTTTAGCCTAACCATGATCGATATATTTTGAAGCGCACCTCATCTGTGGACCAGATTCCACGGAAGGAAGAACAACGATGTATGTTGAACACATGAGATGATGCCGTGGTTGTTTCGAAGGCCACATAATCCCTTCATCATCCAAAACACCATCACAATTCTTTGAAAGAAAAACCAAAAATATTCCCTTAAGAAATAAGTGAAGGTCACAAAGGAAATAATAACCAAAAATCAATAAATTAGTACTTTGAATAGAATTAAAAGCATAAGATTTTGCATGCATATCACCAATGCTAAGTCCTTAAGGAACTTCAGCAATCACATTTTATTTCTTGTAAAATTTAAATCAATCATTTGTTCAACCCACAGCATACGTGCCATGCATTAACAATAAGTTTTTTCAAATCTTTTAACGGAATTTGAAATAACCTGAAACACGCAACATTAAATGCCAATATAACAAAAAAGGAATAACGGGAAAAAACGGAAGCACGACTAAAAATCAATCCTTAAATAAAACCATAAGTGTTTCAGTCTATAATATGAACTGAACCAACCGACACCTACTATAAAAAACACTGACATATTATAAGTGAACCATATTTTTAGAGCTGAGCACGGATCTGGGAATTCCCGTTCCGTACCGAAGAACCGTCCCGAACCGTTCCAGAACCGATAGAACCGGAAAAATGTAAAACCGTACCGTACCGTACCGAGCTTTTTTTAATAATATGGTACAGTACCGGTTCTTAGTGAAAACCGTCCCGGAACCGTATTGTCCCGAACTATCCCGTACCGTCCCGAATTGTCCCGAAAACTAGTGTTAGATTATAATAATATATTATACATAATATATTGCCGAGTATAAATGTTAGTGACCATAGGTCTCGAAAACTAGTGTTATAATATAATAATACTACGTATATTATATATAACATATTACCAAGTATAAGTGTCAGGGATCGTATGTCCATATATTACAAATATGCAATATTGCATATTCTTTGGGCGTAATCCAATTATTAAGACTTGACAGCACTAAAAGTTAGCTTTAAAACAAAAACAATACTAAATGATATAAACAATGCTATGTAAATAGGGTTAATTATATTTCATAGGGGTTAATTATTTACGAACCAAATAATACCGAAGAACCGTACCGAACCTTGCTGAAAATTGGTACGAAACGGAACAGGTTCCATATATGTGCGGGACGGTACCGGTTCTTGATTTTTAAAAGAACCGTACTTTGGGACGGGATAGGTTTTTTGAAATAACTGTCCCGTACCGTTCCATGCTCACCCATGATATTTTTATTACTGAATAATGAAATATACTAATTTTCAGCACAAAAAATGGAAAAAAAAATGGATAAACATTATAAAGGCTCAAAAACATAATGCATATCAAATAAATTTTGGACAAAACCAAACACCTCTACTTGGTTCAAACTTAAAACAACTAAGCCCACTTTATTTCCCCAGCAATACCCAAACGATATACACCACCGGCCCAAACAACCCAACATTCAAAGCCCACCCCAACCATTTATACGCTGGAACATGTCACCCCACCCAAACTCTCTTGAAAACACGCCGACATTAGCCTCTACACCCCTCTCTCAAACGAACAGAGCAGATCGGAAAAGATAAGCACCGGACGGACGCAGACCACCGTCAGAACTCAGGGGAAAACACTCCAGCCAGGAAAAAAACATCGAATTCTCAACCTCTGAACCTAACTCCACAGCATAGACCTCCTCTCCACACACACAGAAGTAGCAGTCCGCCCTGGACCACTAACGACGACCAGACGCCGATTATGAGAGGTCAAGCGCACTGCGGCGAAGACCCTAGACGGCACCGGCTATTACCAACAGGGATGGATCGATGACTTTCAGCAACAGGCTTCATAGGTAACATTCCTCATCCCAAAAAAAACCCACAAACCCTAACCCGACCCTTTACATGCACGAACACTACACGACTCCTTCTACCTCCTACAAATCTTCTTTAAGTCACAACAAATACGAACATAAATTTTTTATACGAAATAACCTGATAAACCTTCAGATCTGGTCTTTCTTTTTTTCTCATTCGGTTGTGCTAGGCAAACCTCCAAGATGAAACAGTTTTTAATGGAAAAAATTGTATTTTGTAAGAATAAAAATGGAAAAATACAGTCCAAAACACATCAACGGAAAAATACAGTCCAAAAATACAGTCCAAAGCACACAGTCTGCAGATCCGAAGGTCTGTCTAATTTTTCAGCCATAGTTTAACATTAACCTAGAAATTTTAATCAAATATTTTTGTGCAATCATTAACCAACCATTTATTACCGAACACAGTATTTTTTTTTATCATACCTGTTTTTCCAGATTAATTTACGCATGTATTGGTATTTGAGATTTTATCATTCCGGTAGATTTCATTATAAGGTAATCAACTACTTTAGACTTACTTTATAATAGTTTGTTATGAGCATCTATTTCTTTCAACTTTCATGCAATTCAAATAGTCTTATTGATTATTTTATTCATAGAATTCGTCGCAAAAGTTGAAGGATGTAGCAAAGCAAATGAACTTCCGTGCTTCAAGGGCTGATTTTAGTGATTTTAGTGGGAACTACACTCTCTCAAATGATAAGGTTATTTTAACTATTCATGGTCCTTGTGATTAAAATAAAAAAAGTTATATTTGCACCCATCAATCAAGACTTTGTATTTTAAATTGTGTTATATAGCCAAGGAGCCGTATCTGCATAACCATTATTTAATTTGGTATCCTCATACAATTAGTTGGTTATCTTTCTTGAAGCTATATATATTGTGAGTACTAACTTCTCATCTCTAGGTTGAAGCTGCTCTTTTGTAACCCGGCTTGCGTCCGACTGTATTAAGAATTCATTTGAGGTATTGTAATTGCATTGATAATAAGAACCTATCAAGCGATATACTCCTCCTGATTGGCCCCAAATCAAGTTTTTGATGTGTAGAATATATGAGGAAAATGCATTGTATTCATCTGCCTAACATTTTGAAAGGAAATTAGGCTTATATTTAATTATCTTAACTCTATAGATTACAAAAATACACATGTATAGTTAATTATTAATAATATTTGATAAAATATTATAATTTTAATAATAATCTCCAAAAAAATATTTCTATTTTTCTGAAATGTATTTTTTTTTATCTTTTTCGTTTTTAATACATAAAATTGCACATCGTTTTTTTTCAAATCACAGGGAATTAATTTTTCAGATATGTATTTAATCAGAGACCTTATTTTTAGAAGTATCTGGAAATGTCTAGGATTTTTTATAAAAAACCCTTTGAATTTTATACCGAACAAAAAAAATAATGTTTTTCAAAAATTTAAAAGAAGAATCTAGACATAGTAGAAAAGAACAGACAAAATAATGATGCGACCTTGCATAATTACAGACAGTGGCAACACCCACCCCATACACATAATTTAACTCCAACAACCCACCACCCAACCGTTACCCACACGGCGACACCCCTTTAGGCTTTAACACATCAAACCTCCCACTTCCAACCGCCCAACCTAAATGCTTCGATAAAATCGACCGGTCACTAATGCACCTTTTCTAAAAAAAAATCTCAACATCAAATTCTATTATTTAAAAATTCAACAACAAACTAACTGTCCCCTATTTCTGCCCAAGAGAATGGATCACCAACCCAAGTTACTGATCACAGGTATTAAACTATATTTATATGTTTCGATATAATATACCAACCTTATATTCAATTATTTTCATGATTTTGAAAATGTTTATAATATTTAATTCAACCATTATAAGATAAACCTTGAAGCAAATCATTTAAAACGCGTTACATAAAAGACAGAATTTATTATATATTATAATAGATACGATGCTACCAATGGGACATAAAGGTAAAAAACGCTTGTATTATTATTAATTAAAAAAATTATAAGAACTGCCAAGGTTAAACGAATTGCCCTGTCCATGCCAGCCAATCAGGGGGGTAATACGTGGTACAATTTTCTTTAGATAGTTAATTATTTATACTTGTTTATATTTCTTCTAATAATTTTCTTTAATATACTTGTTTATCAAAACATGTTTATTTATTTATGAATAATGATATCTGCCATTGAATATAATCATTTGACCTTAGGGTCTTCAAGTCAATCATGCATTATTCATTAATCTGGAGTATACAAAGATTTGCCTTTTCGCTAAATTCTAACGAAGGTTTACATGTTAAAATTGCAGGGATTGTTCAAGGCTTATTAATATTCGATTATGAAGAATGCCTACTATATGACACCCCCCTATTTTAGTGTGTAAATGTTGTAATAATTAGATATAGGGTAGATTTAGGGCACCACAGGCTCCCCCGGTACATGCTACAGGTAAGCTTCTCTATGCACAGGTTCAACTTATATTTCGTTCTACAACTTTACCCGAAATTAAGTTGAAATCCATGTCTGGTCTAGAAATTGTTTTTCAAATCACACACTCACATGGTTCCATTGAACTTTTCTGTAGGAACACAAATTTGATTTATAATCACACACTTGACCATAGCATTGAACTGACGTATAGCTCTTCTCTCTGGCCTAGAAATCTGCACGCACAACATAAACCCTCAATTTCACATTTTCCTAACAAAAGAGTAGCAAAACATTTGTTTTCCATTACATCTCAAAAGAGCAACTCAAGAGATATATACATTAGGTCATAGATTATGAAAATGAAATGTAAAAAGCCTAACCTCCTCCTCATGAAAAACAATCTTTGATGACTCCGGAAAAGAGTTATGCGCCGGCTCTCTGTAGACATTGCTCTAGCCTTGATTGCCCAATTAGTCTTGTTATGATCGATCTCTCTGAATAAAAACCACATGGCAACCATGTTTAAGAATTACTGCTTGTGTTTCTATGAGCTATAGGAATTTGTAACATTGGTTTGCCTTTATTTATAGGAATTGCCTAACCTGTTTGTGGGGAAACTGTTTTTCAAAATTTGAATTCTGAATAAGTACACAAAATTTAGGCCAATATTTTACCAAAGTTCTTGTCCATTAAAACAACCATTCATATTAAGTTTACTGTGCACCTAGAAACTGTCCAATGAAAATCAAGCATTGTGGGTAGGAAATCTTGAATAAATCCCTTGAGCAGCTCACCAGGTGGAACCCAAAGCATTGGCCAATGAAAAAATGCCTAGTTGGGTATAAAAATCTAAATGAAATCCCAACAGTTCTTGAAGTTGCTGCATCCATTCATTCCATGAAAAATATCACACGCGGGCCCAACATGACCATTTTTTTACTCTATCAAACACTCAACAAACACTTGGTTACGGAGCAATAAACAATTAGGAATTGAAAGTGACGTTTTTGAGGGGGGGAACTCACCCCAAAAACATTTTGCTTTTAGATTATAATTCATTAGTGATAGAGTATTAATTCTAGAGAGAAGTGAGAGCTAGAGAGAGAAAGTGAGTAATTATATTTCTCAACCCCCTATAACTAGTCCCAAGGGGTCTATTTATAGGTAAAAATGTGGATTTGGGCTCCTAGCCATGGGCTTAGGAGGCTCCCCCAGTACATGCTACAGGTAAGCTTCTCTATGCACAGGTTCAACTTATATTTCGTTCTACAACTTTACCCGAAATTAAGTTGAAATCCATGTCTGGTCTAGAAATTGTTTTTCAAATCACACACTCACATGGTTCCATTGAACTTTTCTGTAGGAACACAAATTTGGTTTCTAATCACACACTTGACCATAGCATTGAACTGACGTATAGCTCTTCTCTCTGGCCTAGAAATCTGCACGCACAACATAAACCCTCAATTTCACATTTTCCTAACAAAAGAGTAGCAAAACATTTGTTTTCCATTACATCTCAAAAGAGCAACTCAAGAGACATATACATTAAGTCATAGATTATGAAAATGAAATGTAAAAAGCCTAACCTCCTCCTCATGAAAAACAATCTTTGATGACTCCGGAAAACAGTTATGTGTCGGCTCTCTATAGACATTGCTCTAGCCTTGATTGCCCAATTAGTCTTGTTATGATCGATCTCTCTGAATAAAAACCACATGGCAACCATGCTTAAGAAAAACTGCTTGTGTTTCTATGAGCTATAGGAATTTGTAACATTGGTTTGCCTTTATTTATAGGAATTGCCTAACCTGCTTGGGGGGAAACTGTTTTTCAAAATTTGAATTCTGAATAGGTACACAAAATCTAGGCCAATATTTTACCAAAGTTCTTGTCCATTAAAACAACCATCCGTATTAAGTTTACTGTGCACCTAGAAACTGTCCAATGAAAATCAAGCATTGTGGGTAGGAAATCTTGAATAAATCCCTTGAGCAGCTCACCAGGTGGAACCCAAAGCATTGGCCAATGAAAAAATGCCTAGTTGGGTATAAAAATCTAAATGAAATCCCAACAGTTCTTGAAGTTGTTGCATCCATTCATTCCATGAAAAATATCACACGCGGGCCCAACATGACCATTTTTTTACTCTATCAAACACTCAACAAACACTTGGTTACAGAGCAATAAAAAATTAGGAATTGAAAGTGACGTTTTTGAGGGGGGAAACTCACCCCAAAAAACATTTTGCTTTTAGATTATAATAATAATAGATTCGTGAAAATTTCCCAAAAAACACTCCCAATTACCCATGAGCCCAAATGGCAGGTCCAAATGTTGAATTGAATTTAACTATTAACCAAACGGACCGTGAGCCCAAAGTTTCGAAGCAGCGACCCGTTCAGGCCAGAAGTTCTCCTTCCACCTATAACTAACAACCCTAACGCAATTACCGACTCCTCTCTCAACGCTTCTGTTGTTTCCGAAGCGGTTCGGTTTCGTATCTTCATTCCAATTAGGGTTGAAAAGAGTGGGTGGGGATCGGACAACTTGAGTGTTTGTTCTACCTTCTCAATTGAAACGGTAAGTACAATTTCTCTCATTATATTCGTGCTGATTTTTTTGTGTATCCCTCATTAACAAACAAAACAGAAGTTCTTCGATCGGACAACTTCTGTTTCATGTTCACAGAACCGTTGTGTATCCCACTTCTGAATTAAGACAGAATTAATTCGTGCTGATTTGTTGAACGGATGTCATAACTTTGAGTTCATTCGTGCTGATTCTTTGAACGGATCTCATAAATTTGAGTTCATTCCTGCTGATTCTTTTTAGGTTAGATTCTTTATGTTAATATCTTGCAGTTTTCTTAATTTTAGATTCCTCTATTCCTTTTCCTTTGCAATCAAAGGTATTGCTTTTTGAATGGGAGATTTCAGCTTTCGGACCTGAAGAAAAATAATTGGTGGCCGTGAATGAGTCCTAATGTTCTTTATGCGGTTCCTGTAGGTTAATTAGGTCCTTGTTGGAATTTTTGTTTGTTCTTAGTAGTATTAAATTTCCATTTCGATACCTGTATATAATTCATCCACAGAATGCCATTAGTCTGACGATCTGGCCTCATAGTGATAATGTGTTTTTGTATATTTAAGAGAGAATCTCCAATATGGCTGCCACTGCGATTCTCCCTTCTGCTGACATCCAACATTTGGCTGAGGACCAAAGCCTCCCAAAGCCGTGGAAGGGGTTGGTTGATGGCCAAACTGGATATCTTTATTACTGGAATACAGAGACCAACGTTACCCAGTATGAGAAGCCTGTAATTATTATGATACCATCAAGCTCTGCTGGCCCTAACAAATCTTTGAGTCCATCAGTTCAGACGACTTTTCGGGGACATGTCATAAATGTTGACTATGATGTAACTAAAGGAGGTAGCAGAAGTGGGTCAATGATGTTTGCTCCTGGGACAGGAAGTTATCAGGTGCTCATGCGATTATGAATTTAGAGCTATCTTCTTGAGGAGATGTCATGAGTGCATTAACTTGGTTTGATTGAGTCCAATTATATTGGTTGATAGAGACTCGTTTACTTGACAGCACATTTGTTTGGATAATTCTGGTAGTAAATCATGAAATAGTGGTAGTGGAGTAGTCAAGTATGAACACATCTACTGCAGCTGCAAGTTATCATTTACTTTATTTGCATTAGAACCTCTCTTACTCAGGGTTTGAATTGTTGCTGCGCTCTGGGTGCTTCAGTGCTTCTGTTTATGACTTCCCTTAAATATTTTCATTCTCTTTTTATGAGCTAACATCTAACTCATTGTTTTGTTCAGAGTGATAAAAGCGGACTAGATCAAAGTCTTGGGATGGTTTCATTCTCCTCAACAATCACGGAGTCAGCTGATTCTTATCGTCAGCAGCATGACATAACTGTATCTGTAAGCATGTTAAAAGACATGGCATATTTTTGTGTCTTACTATTTTGGCCCTGGTAGTTGTCAAATATGTGAAGAGTTTAGGATTAGAAGGTGGCATTATCCACCACCCACCATTAGCAGAACAAAATTTTCAATGATTGGACAATACAAATATAATATCATAGGATTGCAATAAAAGTATTTTTAGTTTAGTCAATACTACTTACCAAGTAAAAAAGTCTTGTATTTAGAAAATTAAAGATGAGAAATTTAACACAATGTGTTCTCTGTAATTATGTCCTGAAGAGGTTGTGTTACAGCTGTAAACATTTCAGCACTCCCTCCCTCAATTGTGCAATCAACATGAAAATGTCCCTCAGACATCACAGTAAATTGATGCTTATTGCTATTCTATTTTGAAGGCCTCTGGTCTCTTTGGTTGATGGCATAGTTTGATAGTAGTCAGCCTTGAATGATCTTACAAAGCCTGGTTCCAATTTTTCTTCATTTGAGTGCAGAGAACTGTAAACATGTGTGCATGAGAAGTCATTCCTTTGATGGCTATAGATGCCACAAATCACTCTCTTTTTTAGAGTAACTCCTGCGGCATATATTATCCGTCATAGGATGCTTCACATTCTCTGAAACCCGTCTACAAAGCCTTCCAATTTCAAAATAATCATCTTTCCCCCCTCATGCGACACTTTTTTTGTCTACCTTCTCATGACATATTTGTTCATTCTTCCTTTTTTGCAGTCCCCTCCTTACCTGAATGTGCTCTTCCTATTTTTTTCCCTAACTCAGTCTGCATTTACCGTTTTATAATGCCATTGTTGACCTGTGAAACAAATACCATGTGATCCTTAAAAACTTTCTTTGTAATACATGTATAATAGCTTTACATATTTCAACAAGAAATAATTGTCCCGACTATGTAAATTGAATTATATCTTGGGTGGAAATCTACCTATGCTCATTGTAGTGATAAGTTATCATCATTTTCAGATGTAGATACTTCAAACGTTTTACCTTTGAGCCTAACCTTGTAAGGAGCGGTAAAGCTCTAAGTAGTTGTTTGTTATTTTAAGAGATGCTTC